GCGGATGACTTTGCCAACTTTTGGACGCTAGCATAAGGGTTTATTACAGGGTGTACTGTTATATATTGAAGTTGACGTTACCCCGTATTAACTAATTCAATTTGCCAATGAATATTGTATTTTGATTGTCGTTTTGAAATTTTTTGTTGATTCATTTTCTGCGTTTAAGAAAATTCTGTCGGATAATAATGAAAGTCATAAGGGGAATTCAAACAGACATGTGATTCTTACAAACTAGACATAATCTACGAAGAAGTCTTTTGTTCAGCGAAAATGTAAAGCATCCGATGGGATGCCATCACGTGTGGCCTGTACAAATAATATTTTCGTTGCATTAAACTTAACGGATGTGCTTCATATGTCCACATATAATCATGTGATGTTGCTTAAAAATGATTCATGCGTGCAGCCCATGTTTAGTTAAATCAGAGGCATCTCAGCTTTATAGTTCAACATTTTACCATTTACAATTTTTTCTAGCTCGATTATTCACAGATTTTTATGACAACCTTGAAACAATACTTATTCTAAGATAGATCATTAACAATGTAAATCTTTTTACTAAGGAGTTTGATTTGTATTTGATCACTTAGTTTTTCAAACCAGTAACTGGGACAACGGGATTCCAATAGAGTATTTTTCGATTTACGAGTTATTGGTGTCATAAACCTACGTATCTTTATACAGTATAGTACTCCAGTCGTAGACAGCATAAGCTGATTAGCAAGTTCGGTAAGCTTCTAGAAGATTCGAGCGGAATTTGAAGAGCTTTTACCGCAGTGTTCGCTTCTTAATTGATCTGGGTATGACGGTTTTATTCTTGTACGTAGCGCGGTGATCTAGTTATAGGAAATTGACGTGGAGTATTCAGGCGCTGTAACAAGAAGCTGTTTTTGCATTCCTAGGTTTGAACAGTGGTTTTGTACTCACCAACTACAACTTCATGGCTGACGACAGTGCAAACAAGATCGACACCGTCGATTGCGGTTTGGACATCACTCCAGACAAGGATGGAGGGGTAATCAAAATGATCATTAAGCCGGGTGTCGGCGAGGCTCATCCAGCGACCGGCAACGCCGTTTATGTGCACTACGTCGGGACACTATTGGACGGTTCTCAGTTCGATTCAAGCCGAGAGCGCAACCAGCAGTTTTCTTTTGTTGTTGGAAAAGGTATGCTTTTCTTTGCTGTTTCGATTATCTCGAAGCGTTTTCTCCACAGTAATTTCTTCCCTTGTTCAGTTTTTAGTTACATGCTAATTTTGGTGACAAAAAGTTTGTGGCTAGTTTTGCATTGTTGAGCAGCCGCTTTTCCTTTAACTTATCCCAGTTGTAGTGTAAGATCCGATAATACATGTTTGGCCCGACTTTTATGAGCATTACGAAGTGGCTTTTATACACCCAATCGAGTTTTAAATCATGGCTTAAGTTTTTACTTTAGTGCATATGTAATTAAATTCCCTGCTTGTAAACTGTAAATTGTTCTTTCAAGATTGAGGTTGTTTCATTCTCAAGAATGTAATCCTGTTTCTTAGAGATTTGTTCCGTATATGAATTTTATACGCGTAATTATGTACCTTTATACCTTGCCAACGAGTCCATTTAGGCTTGAAACGTTGGTAATTTCTGTTATGAAGTGTGTATGCGATGTAATCCCTTAAAAAACATGAAATTCAGTATTCAGCCCAAAAATCTGTAGTTTTGTATCTGGAACTTGGCAACTAATAGAATAGGATATAGTTTCGACACTTTGCATTGCTAAGTTAGAATCTGAGCGTTTTTCAAAATTGGTTTATATCTCTACGATTATTGATTCTGTTTTTGCCTTGCGATATGATTAATTTCGTTGAGCCTCTCCGGTTACGGAAAATTTTAGGTCTTTATCTAGTCTTATTTTTAAGTTCTTTTTGTAGAACCGATGATGTAATATTTAATCAATATAGTTGGCAGTAAATTTACTGTTTTTTAATCTACTGCTTAATTCATTCGGATTTAGTTCTAAATTTTTTAATCATTACTTCAGGAACAATGATTCTTCAAAATTTTCCAACCTTCTGTACAGAGTTTGAGCCTCTGATGCTGCTGACCGATTTAGCCACCCATCGCTCATCCAGTTCATGAAGGCAGCATCGGAGTATCCGAGAACGTAAAGTGATTTAGCGCAGTGCCTCCCCGCAGGAGAACAGATCATCGGAGGTTTCTGTCATTTATTGCTATGGTTCTGAGGCAGCATATTCATTGAGCTTTGAAAATTAAATTAATTTTATTTGGTGCGTAAATTTGTTTTGTTATCTTTTCCCTCTGCTAAAACGAGCATCGCATTAGGACTCTGCTTGGAAGGCTACGTAGAAGTCAATCAGTGTATAGACCAAAGAATGAATCGATTTTATCGATGACTTGGCCGTGGCATGCATTTAAAATAGTGTATTAAATACCTGTATAATATTTAGAGTCTATTATTGCGGTAACTACAATGATAATTAGTATATTGTATGGTATCGAGTTAGCACAATTCACTGCACATGGCATTGATATATAGCCATGTTTATTAGGCAAAATTATATGTAAATGTAGTTATGTTTTGTGTAAATGACGTGATAATTACTAAGTTTTACCACTGTATTTAGTGCACATTTCTGTTTAGAAGGCGCACTTTTGTCCTGTACATTGAATAAAAGGATCGTTGATAGATGGCCATGAGAATTTCCTGTTAACTATTTTAATATTCGTCAAATGATGCTAGGCAATGTGTTATGGTAGCTACTGCGTGGTTATTATACCTGTTGTTATTTCGTTATATACTGCATCATTCGTGTTCATTATATATAATCGGAAAAAAGTTCGGCTGAAAAGGGGAGAAATGAGTGGAGTACTCTGCTGCAAGAAGATATCCGTTAAACTCAAGAGTATGTGTACAGAGCGATAATAAGACTGGTGAATACGTACCGAACGGAATGTTTGACTGTCCTGAAGCGACATGAGCAACAGCTGATCTCGTTGTTAGAAATGCGAATGCTCAGCATGGGTGTGTGGTATCAACAGAAATGACCACAAGCTAAATAATTTCATAAGAGGCACTCTAAACGTAGTCCTAGTTGTAGGAATGCTTATCGATAGCAGTCTCCGTTGGTTGCATCACTTGAAAAGAAGTTCCATGGAATACATTGGAAATTCGGCCCAAATACTAGTACTACTAGGAAAAAAGAAGGGGAAGAGCAAAGTAAAGATGTCCTGATGTCGTCAACAATGATATGAGACTGCGAAACGTCACGGAAGATTTAACTAAAAACCGAACTCGACTGTGGTCTCAGTTCACTCGGTTAGCGGACCCCTGTTAAACGGAACATGCTAGCAATATGAAGATGTATATAATCAGGATCACAGTATATGCTGCAGAGTCATCACAACTAACACGATATTTAACCTGTAGAACTCTTCCTATTTAATATGTTGCTCTATATATACTAGAAATGATCGCTGCCATATGGTCAAGCATGGTGATTACCCCTGTTTAGTATATAAGGCAATATATTAAATGCGAAATAGTTCTACAGGCTTAATATAGTTGGTTACTACAACTTTATAATGTCATGACCTTGAATATATTGTACTCTTCCCTGAAGATATTGTCTATACTAAATAATACAGCGGTTACAATGAATATAAAAAGGTTATCATGCGACGTATTACATAATATTATATGCTGAATATAATAATAGTTGCCATGTAATAGTAGGTATTATGTGTTGTTTGATTCTCATAATATTCAGTATATGCTGTGTCTTATTCAGTATATAGTACTATATATTCAGTCACGATATATTTTAAAAGGTAATAACTGGCACCATATTTAGTCGTTAGGGTTGTTGCGTATTTGCAATATGTTGTTATCTGGCTCTCTAGGCAAGAACCAAGGTAGTTGCAACGAAATGAAGTATTGTGACTGTCGTGATTCTTAGTGTGTAGTTTTTCGTATTTTTTACATAGTAGCATATGACTGCCGGCGTCACCTTGACTGTCCTGATTTTTAACATACAGTGTAGTATACTAAATATTTTTCTAATTACTATATGGATATGGTACTGTATAGTATTGTATATTATACATCCAATATGTAGTGCAGTATTTTATAATTATCTGCTTGTTTCTGACGGTATAGGTTTATTACGTTACTTTATTCTTGACTATGATGTTATGTTTTAAGTACAACACTTGTCGTTCTTAGGTGAAGTTATTAAAGCATGGGACCTAGCTTTACCAACGATGAAGAAAGGTGAAGTCTGCAAGATCACCTGTCAACCGAAGTACGCATACGGCGAAGCCGGATCCCCGCCGAAAATACCCGCAAATGCTGTCCTCGTGTTTGAAGTATGTCTAAAAAAGATTCAAAATATTTTTTCTCACCATTGCAGATATTTGTTCTGACGTGTTTTAATTTAATTTATTGGTTAATTTCGTTTTGGGCTTTTATGGTCGGAAAATGATTGCTAATGCAAAATGCATTGTTATGGTGCAGGTGCTGAATTACTGTTCAGTCGTGACCTAGCTCAGTATGATCTTTCGAGCATATTGGAGCGAGGAACTAACGTCTAATCCACTGGTAGGACTCTTCATATCATTGCGACTTCTTGGGTAGCTTGATGCAGTTGGCAGAATAAGCATAACTATACGCAATTGTCTCCATTGACACTTCTAAATTTAGGCTCTGTTATTTGTTTTTCACAAATCTTTATTTTTATTTCTAACCAAACTAATTTAAGTCAAGTTCACGGAAATCCTTCTTTTCGCTCCTTATCCTTGAATTTGGAATTTTTTACTTACGAGTTACTTGGTTTGATACGTATATCACTGCGGCTTTGTATCAGTTCTAAAATTTTACGCAACAAAAGGTTTGAAGTATTGAAAGCCGGCATATCTTTACTCTGGTTTCCTATTTGTTTGAAGACAACGAAAACGAAGCTGGACTTAGAGATTCCAATTCAATGTCACTTATTCAGAGGTTCCTTTGTAAGAAAAGCAAGAAAGAGTAGCAGAAAAAGTGAGACTGCGTTAGATAAAAAAAGGCTCGATTATGAAAAAATGACAGAGCGGAAAACTAGATCACTACGACCAAATCTGAAAACCTTCCTCTTTTTAAGTATACAAAATTCCGCTGCAGGAGGATATGTAAACTCTAAAAATCCTTATTTTCATGCTAGAAACCGTTGAGAGAACGGAATAACTTCCTAAATGAAGCGCATAGTTTTTGCGATTCCATGATTAAGAGGAGTAAGGCAAACGATCAATTTTTATCTGACACAAATGTGGAGTTTCTGTCGAATTTACATCGATCATTGACAGATGATGTGCTTTAATTGAAACTGAAATAAAAAATATCTACTTTAAAAATGCAGTTAAGTGTTAGCAGGGGAAGAAGGAAGAAAAAATTAACAAAAAAGATAACAATGGAAAAGTGGTACGACTGCAAAAAGATTGATTGAAAAATTCATTTGATGAAAGAAAAGATAAATCGAACCAGGAAGGAGTAAACTATAAACCTGTTTATCAATTTTTACTCTCGGCATGAAAAACTGTCATAAGTTTTCACTCGCGAATTTGGGTGGTTTCTTGAAGAATGTCTTGCCGAGACTGTGCCAAAAAGTCTAGGAGACGACTGGAAAATTGCATCGTAAAATGAATATATTACGATGCAATTAACACTGATTAGACTGTTAAAATCTCACCAACTTAGAATTGGTGAGTCAAAGTCATGGACCAGGTTCTTTGACCTATAAATGTTGGATGATATTGATAGTTGAATGTCGCGCGGAAGAGTCGCAATATTAGTAGAGTCCGTCATAAATTGTCGAAAAAGTTTTTGGTAATATATGAAAATGATTAACTACAAAATTATTGGGTTGATTCGTAGTTAACCAATTTATAATTAACTAGGTTGATATGTGCCTAATTATTGTATAGTAAATCTTAGCTATGAAAGATTTGGGAGTAGGTTTACTGTAAATACGTAGTAAATGTTAGGATCAAATGGTTGAGCAGGGGTAGATCAGGTGGACCTAAAGACCAATAAACGATTGAAATCTTCAGATACTTATCGAAGCTTGTTTTACCAAATTTAATGTCTCCTCCTTCTGCAGAACTAGGATTTGAGAACTCGCAGATAAACATTTTCACTGACTCGTAATTTTTATCCATTATCTCATTACTTCATTTCTGTGCATCGTTTTTTACCATTTCAGTAGTTCAGGCCTTCCTCTTATGATAAAATCATTTTGTGTATTCGATCCACTTCACCTGTTGTGAATGTTTCGATAATCTACTGCCGTATATTCTCTGTTAATTAAGTCTGACGTCTCTGTTAATTACGTGTTAATTACAGAAGCCGCGTCGTCTTTATTCGACGGATTTACAGACCATTAGTCTTTTTTAACGGTGTTCAGTATGCTGCTGCATGCGCACGCAGCGGCAGGCAGCGACTTACACTCATATTATTATATTATTTTATCATGTACTATTTTTTCACACTTTTGTATGATCGCGCAGGGTGCTTTGCGTATTTGTCTTGAATTAAAATGCGATTCTATACTTTATTTCGTATGTTCTTTTGTCTCTTTGTGTTACAGTCTGTGTCGTCTTCTAGATTGAGCTATTTCATTGGGAAGGTGAAGACATAAGTCCGGATAAAGACAAGACCATTTTGCGCACGCTTCTGGTAGAAGGCAAGAAATGGGATAGTCCGAACGACGAGTCGCAGCTAAATACTCACATCGTTGGGTTTCATGAGGGCCGAACTTTTGTCGACCGCGATTTCGATTTCATCCTTGGCGAATGTACAGAAGCTGGCCTTCCAGAGGGTATCGATGCTGCATTGAAGAAGTTCAATAGAAACGAAAAATCGTATGTGCAGCTGAAGTCGAAATGGTGCTATGGGCCAGAAGGCAACAAGGAGTTCGGAATTCCTCCGAATTCCGAGCTGGATTTCGAAATTGAACTTAAGGATTTTGTCAAGAACAAGGAATCGTGGAATATGAGTGAGAAGGAAAAAATCGAGGAATCACGAAGATTGAAGGAGCGAGGCACCTCCTTTTTCAAGGTAAATAGTGACGGTGTAATTCCACATTTTCATACTTTGGCAGTGGAGTCAGTTGTAAAGTTCTTGCACAAAAACACTGTTAATGATTTCATGTTTTTATTTAACTACGCACGACTTATAATTTAGGCTCAAAAGATGAAGTTGGCCCTCGATAAGTACAAGCGAATCGTGGATCTCCTGCAACACATGCGGGAGCTGAAGAATGATGAAGAAAAAGAGGTTGCAAATTTGCTGAAGGCAGCTCGTCTCAACATGAGTCTGATATTCCTGAAGATCGGAAACACCACGGGAGCAATTAAAGAATGTGACGAAGTTTTGTCGACGGATGCGCAAAACGTCAAGGCGTTGTACCGAAGAGCTCAGGTATTCGTCTTAGTCTCTGTTCTTGTGCTTACGTGTGTCATTTAAAATTCACCAGCTATCTTTTGTTTTGGCTAGTTTTCACGTGGCTAACCGTTACTGGGCGACTGAACGTATGTAAAGTAGGATTCATTTTATTTTGTCGCCTTAATAAGCGGAAGTATTGGGTAATTAGGCAAGGGGTAAACAGTCGTTTTCTCCGTTCATGTATTTTTTCTGGAGGCTGTGTTGTGAGTACCTTCTTAATATATTACTGGAATCATTTTAGCACGTAATATTAGAACAGAATTGCACAAGACAAGTAATGCGATAAAATGATGCGCTTCTTCTTCATCTTCCATCACTGCTTCTCCTTTCGGGTCGCGGAGGCAGACGCGTCAGACAGTGCTTCCAACGTTGGCCATCCTGTGCCAGAGTCTGAGCTTCGGCAAAAGATAAATGGAGTTTGGAAAAGACTCTTTCCATATATTTGCATCAGGTCATTCTTGGCCGTCCCCTGGGCCTTTTGCCAGTCGGATTTCCAAGGAACAATTGCCTAGCCTTCCTTTCTGGAGGCATTCGCAACACATGCCCAAGCCATCGCAGTTGTGACGTCTCAATCTGCAGAAGCAAAGGCTGTATTCCAAGGCTCTTCCGGATGTCACTGTTCTGAACCATGTCGAGAAGCGTAAGGCCAGCGACTCGTCTAAGAAAGCCCATTTCAGCAGCTTGTACCCGGGTTC